GAAGCTTGAGGAGTTGATACTGTGTCAGGAGGGGTGAATCTATCATCTGTTCTAATATATGTAGATGTCGCATACAGCCTTGTATGTTGAATTTGTAAATGGTGTCATAGCATTGTATTTCACCATATAGGTTTCTATCAAACTCAGCCTCAGAAATCAATGTATGTTCATCTGTACATATGGAAAGTCTGGGGTTATGAAGGACATTTATAATATAAGATCCAATGGAGGGACTGTGTAGCAGGAATGCTAATCCCTTCTCATACAAGCTATACAATCTGAAAAATAGTTGATGTTGAGCTTCACCATCAATTTTACTGAGAAACATGTTGTTGTCTGGAATGAAAAAGTTAGGACAGACCCCCTCATACACCCATTTGAGGATATGTTTAAAACAGACCCAGAAACCCGCCAGGAGATTTTGTGGACACCAGTGAGGTATTGGTTTTTGTTGAATAACCCAGAAAACTGCTGTCTTCATGTGATAGGAACTCAGTTTTTTCTGATCATCATCTAGTCCATTGTTAATTATTTCTGTTAAGAACACTTTAAGTAAGCCATAAGTTAAGAATTGAGAATGATTCATTGCATTCACTAGTTTTTGTTCTGCCAGAGAGAAAGAAATTCTCCATTCATGGTCTTCATGTCTTCCTATCTTATGTCCTATTGCTACAAAGAGACATCCCATTTTCACAATGTTATTAACGAAATGAGGCTTGGGCCATGAGTGACATCTGTCTATCCATGAGGAGGCAGATGGAGGCCAAAAGTCACTAACAAAACAGAGGGCTTGATCATATTCTAGTCTACGAATTGTTCCACTGGTACAGGGTCCATGTGGAGTGGAATTTGGTATTGCTACAGAACACATATTCTGTTTGTATATAGAACTAGATATATAATGTCTATTATTCATTTCAACACAAGCTCTCTGGATTTTTCTCTCCAGGCTTGGTGACAGTAAATATAACAAAGTATATCCGGGTGGACTATCGGAACATTCACAGAGAATCAGTGTTTGCCTGTCTGTGTTGTAATACTGAGACTGAGAAAATTTCCAGATCACACGGTGATTATTTGGCCAGTACATAAAGTCTACATCTGATCCTTTCAGTCTGAATCCTTCTCTTTGACTTCCACTCACCATCCTACTGTACTCATTAAGTGTTTTCATTTGATTTCTCACGATATCATTAATGTCCACCAAATCTCTCCTCATGACCACTAGTTGTGAGGTTCCCAATTTCTGACACAGTCCCACAAACACTGACTCTGATATGTGTTGTATGGCTGTCTCACTGAGAATGATTCATTAGAATTTATATTGTTTTATAATACAAATATGCCTGTATCTTATTTGAAAATCGGTTATATAATTATCATCAACCCTTATAGACTCAAGTCAATTTTTTTTCTCAACTAAACTATTAATCTTTAGAAATGAAATAAAAGTTAGATTAATTTATTGTTTCAATTAGATTTGTGCCATATGTTTTCATTCACTTGTGTAAAAAGTAAAATTAATATTTACAAATATCAAGAAAATGTACTTATTCACATTATTTATGAACTATTAGATTAATATATTGCTGTATTAAAACTTACATTTGTGAGGTTTTAATGGAGTCCATTTTGATATTGAAAGTTTCAGTTGCTATAAATAGTATAGAAAAATTCCATAACATCTACTTTCATTTCATAGTAAGTTTTGGACAATCACCACCAAATGTTTTCCCATAGACTTCCATACAAACTTGAGCCCCTGTCACTCATACATATATTGAATTTTGGGCAAATGACCTTTTCGCCGTGAAAGTTCGAGATATTGGAAAACAAAACATGCCAGAAAAAATATACTGTCACGCGGCACTTTTACTTTCCATTTCCATTTGTTTACAACAAGGTGCGTTTGACACCAAATGAAAATCTCTAACCAAAGGGCACCCCTCCCTTTAAATTTTTACCTGTAACTCCTCTATATCTCAAAGAATCCCAAGTCTTGATATGAGATTTTTATCAACTTTATTTCACTAGTCAGATACATAACAAGTCTTTCCTCTTATTGACCAATCACGCGCCAGCTAGCATTTTGTTCTCCGCACAACTTTGGGTGTCCAAAATGTCTGCGCCCATGTATTTGTTTATGTAGGGGTTTTTCCTATAGAGTAAAAGAAACATTTATAAAAAGTGGTCAATTTAGTAAATTTAGAACATATATCCATTGCTTATCTCACCTCTTGAATATTGAGACTGACAATCTTAGCTTAAGTACACCATTGGCTGTTACATTTCACACCCCCGTCAATCAGACCCACATCTGTGAAACAGAAAAGATGTCTATAAATTGAAGCATTTTTCTATTTTTCTTTCAAACTTTTGAAATAAAATGTTTAATCTAGCATATGTTTTGCTTGTTTTTCTTATTATCTCTAAAACTTTCTCAAGATAGGTCATGTTTATCATTCAGGGTAGCAGGTGCCCGTTATTAATGAAAAATGAAGAAAATCAGCAGTTTTTTGTATAAAAATGCTGAGTTCTGGAAAAAGGGAAAACTAATGTAGATAAAATAATCAATGGAAAGAAAGAGAATTATATCTAGTTCAAATGTACATAAGATTACTTAGAATTTTATCAGCAACGGGTTGCTGGCATCAGAGAATCAAATACATCCCCACTGAAATTTTTGTAATTTTGAAGGGGGGTGACCTACATTAAAGCCAATTTCCATGAACATTTTATGTAATTGGTGTTAAATATGTATATTCTCATAAAAGGCAAACATATTTATTTGCATATCATTTATTATTATTGACATAATTAATAAATTGATTAAATGCCAAGGGCAGATAAATCATATTGTCTGACTGAATACAGTGCTCAATTGTAAGCAAAGTGCTTAAATAACTGCAGTTCTGAAGAAATTTTTTTTCTAATAATCTATAAAAAGTTCTAAATAAATTAATTATTAAGAGATTAACTAGATTTTCTAAGAAAACCATACCTTGGAACTCTTAATGGAAGCAAAGGGATCATACTCAGAGTGTCCATGTGTTGTTCATTGTAAGGGGGGAGGGTTCATTAATCTCCTCCTTCTTGAGAATGCATCGCTGAAATACATTTTATTTTATTAAAACATACTGATAAATGCATGTAGTAGCTTATATTGTATTTTTTTTATTATTTACATCATCTTTTGAATTTTTTATAAGCATTTGTGATGAAATAGCTTTAAAATAATCATGTTTAAATAGAATTTACTCAGATAATTATCTTAAAAAGTATCTAAGAAATTGAAAAAAATAACTGCAGATAAGTATGACTCTAAGTTGTTCAAATAAACCACATTTTAAAAAAATCCTTCATTTTCGAGCATCATTAGAGTACAAAATTACCCCCCCCCCCTATTTTCTTCAGAAATCAAGATTAAATATAGCAAGGAGGAGGATATTCAGACACTTTTTTCATCATTTTTTCAATAATAATTTTGCAAATTTCTTGTATTTTCAATGTATTTTCTGCTACAATATCTTTTACAGCATTTTAAATTAAATTTCCTACTAGAAACCTCTAAATTTCACCAAAGTATAACTTTTATATCAAGCCAGCACTGATAACATGACTAAAATTGGCTTTGCTGCTAATTTGGGCACTTGTTTAAAATCAAAGTAAGCTAATTACTTAACAGAAGTCTAATTTTGTTATATGAGTTATTAAATCAACTCTGATTAACACAAATTTGAAAGAGGATTAGCCAATCTATTCCAATGTCTGCACTCATAAAATACATGAATTTAAATGAATTTCTCAAACTGCGAGGGGGATATTCATATGTTTTGTGAATTGATGATGTCCATAAATATCAATATTGTATCATTTACAATATTCACAGTAAATTTCAGCATAAATTTAAATTTAAAACTATTTACATGTACATTTATTGAAAATATGAGAGCTAGAGCAAAAATTTTGGCTTTTTTTCACCATGTGCAGTCCCCATTGTGAGCCCCAATTTACCTAAACCCTCTAATTTTCAAACAAATAGTAAAAACTAACTAAAATATGATCTCATTGCCAAAAAAATAGGAACTGATTGATTTTTTGGCTGTAATCAATGTTTATCCATGAAATAATACCTATTCTATAGGACAAACACCACCAAATGTTTTCCCATAGACTTCCATACAAACTTGAGCCCCTGTCACTCATACATATATTGAATTTTGGGCAAATGACCTTTTCGCCGTGAAAGTTCGAGATATTGGAAAACAAAACATGCCAGAAAAAATATACCGTCACGCGGCACTTTTACTTTCCATTTCCATTTGTTTACAACAAGGTGCGTTTGACACCAAATGAAAATCTCTAACCAAAGGGCACCCCTCCCTTTGAATTTTTACCTGTAACTCCTCTATATCTCAAAGAATCCCAAGTCTTGATATGAGATTTTTATCAACTTTATTTCACTAGTCAGATACATAACAAGTCTTTCCTCTTATTGACCAATCACGCGCCAGCTAGCATTTTATACTCCGCACAACTTTGGGTGTCCAAAATGTCTGCGCCCATGTATTTGTTTATGTAGGGGTTTTTCCTATTTTATGTTCTACTACAAGTTGTTATCATTGAGATGACTTACCAATTTGAAAGTTTTGTCAAAGTCATTTATGGTATATGTTTAGTCCTGCCTTGAATATGGATGGGGCATATAGAGTTTGTCTTCTGTCCTTCTGGTTCTCGATTCATCCGTCTTGACTTTTAGATACATAAAAGCTATATCTATTTTAGAAGAAATCAAGGTCAAGCTATTACAGCCTTGTGTGATGCATGGGTTAGATATGAATGTGAATGCAGAGGAGTATTTAGAGGCTGTTGGAGGACAGTCTTGGTCTACAAAGTTGAGACAGGCTGTAGCAGGGACTATATCGAACTAGACAATAAAATATCTTACATCAGTGACTTGACTATAGAACAACATGCTGCTCTAGAAAATCATGAGGATATATCATATATCCCACTCATATACTGTTACGCATGCTAGAGATCTTGTGCTAAAGACATGTAGACACAATGAAAGTACAAAAAGCTGTAGATGATCTAAAGACCCTGGTTCACGATGATCAGGAATTGCTTAAACCTTACAGAGACATATCTTGGATGATTCTGGGGATCTGTCAAGATGTAACAGGGAACCCTCATGCTGCCCTATACTCATACCAACAATCTCTCAGACAAAACCCAAATCAAAAAAATACAATCAGCTTCAAAACGGAGAATACAAGCTATTCTTTATGTAATGACACCTGATTCCGACATAGTTTTGCACTGCTCACATGACAACATATACTTATATTGCTTGACAAAACATGTGAGCACGGTTGTTGTTTGTAATCTTCGCTATTCAATAGAATTTATATCTCTGCAATTCTGCCCACTTCGTTTTTGTTCGGATTGAAAAAATTCAAAAATAAAAAAAAATTAAAAGTAATATGTTGACGGTGCGACCGTTATGGCGAGCGCAGATATTTATTTTGTTTTGATTAAGATCGGATTCGTCAACCTGCACGTGACATTTGGTGCTTGTAGACTCTGACGTCGTATGTAAATTACATTTTCAAAAAGAAGCCTGAACAGTGCTGAAAGTAAATGAAAAACGTTTCGTTTACTATTTATTTTCAATATTTATCCATTAAATCACTCTGTTTTGAACTTTTGCTGCTATTCTCGCGAGAACGTAGCTTTAACAAGTGATGCATTGTGGGTCCAAATTACTGCGTCAAAAATTTCTATGGAATGAATGTGCAGTAGTCCGAATTTTCTCTTTGCACATGCGTTGCTTTAAGAGCCCGCAAAAGAAGCGTTAATGTACACTTCAATTCATTTAAATATTCATCTACTGAACGTCTCAAGTGATATATGGAATCAGAAAATTTCATAAATTTAACATTTCCATAACTTTGTGAAAAAATATCCAATATTTTTCGTCAGTAATTTGATAAAAAAAAATATTGAGGGCAGGCGTTCAGTAAAATTTTTATATCAAGGAAATGTGTGAAAAAAGATCCTCAGCAAGTTTACTCTGTAAAAAAGTGAAGTCAGAATTAAGTACCAATGCATCTCTGCGCTAAATTTCACATTTTGAAAAAAAAATCTTAACATTTATTTTCAGCAACAGCTATAGCATCAGCTTCAAATGGAAAATGGTATGACGTATGAAGTGCTGCCTTTTTCCAGAAATGAAACTTTTGTCAGATCATGATATTAAGAAATCTTAACACAAGAATAGAAATGTAACAATTTATTATCACAACATAGAATGAAAAAAAGAGGCATATACGAAAATAATATTTGATGCCATGCCTATTAAAATCATATTAGAAAGCATGATGAAGTGCAGAATGCTTCATAAATCAGAATATCACAATGTTGTATGTAGTTGTTAGAAAAACTTATCTGTGAGCAAAATTCATCTTCTGAATATTTTTTATAGGGAAAAATTGCAATGCTAGTAAAAATTAAGTGTTTGGTTCTTAAAATATTAAACTTTTCAAAAAAAGTCCTGAAAATAAAAGAACTTATTCGATTTATAAGGTTTTGAAGACTGGATGAAGAAGTTTTTTTTTGTGTTAAATAT